GCAGAATAGTTTTTGCTAAAAATTAAATTATGGCAAAAAACTTTTGCTTGGCCATCCCCGTATAAATCTTTGAGCAATTTCATTAAGGCCTTTAATGAGCAATAGTTCAGTTTTACATTTCCTGTTTATGTTTTTTGGCAATCTGTAAATGAAATTTGGCCTTACAAGCAGGAAACCATTCACCCCAGCTTAATTACAGTATGATCGGTAGATTAACGGTAGATTCTCATGGCTATAGCCGAATTAGAATAAAAAACAACACTGTAATCAACAGCGGCAGATGATACGTACTTTGAAGTTTGCAGGCCATTCTCACGTAAATGAATAACGATGGATTTATGGATATCGCATAGCTGCGAAAAATCCGTTAAATATGCAAAAATTAGTGCCATTTTAATGCACAAATCAGACCTCGATCCATACACAAGCACTACTAAGATTCATTTGAATAATCTTTTATAGACAAAACAACCCGATATTTCAATGCAGCTACCAAACAGTAGCCTTCCTCTTCCGTCGATAACCATAAAATTTCAATTTACTCGAAGTAAGCTCTCTTGCTTCTGGTAGCCTAAAGGGACAGTCTATACAAGTCACAACCCCAAGGAATTTGAAAGCCTGCAGTGCCCTGGATGCAGGACCTCATCTCTGAGTTGGGCTGAAAAACAACGCATTCAAGTACCAACAAATCTAACACTGTCCATTTGTATATATTGATAAAACATAATTTCGATATTTCGAGGTAGCCATGACAATTGTCAAATATCGCTGGTAATTATAAAACACTTTTAATAACTTTTTTACATTAGTGTTAAGCTGCATTTCAAAGATGCACAAAAAATTTGGTCGCTAACTGTTAGGTAAAAGCTATAGTGGAACATATGGAATGTTCCTTTTCAGTGGTCCGTTTCCAGTTTAACTTGTGAGCTTATGTGAGTCGTCAGTGGCATCGTTTTCATAGTTTTCCGTCTTCATTTGATTTAAGCCAAGATCTTCGTTTTGAGACCATGATCTTTCATAATACTCTGTTTGTAACTGAGGGTCTTTCACTGCGCCAAGTACG